GGTTAAAAAGTTCCAGGAGTCTTTGCTTGTTCCTAAAAACATCTCCATGTATCTCTGTGTTGTTAACCATAAGCCACAAACTGCAGGTTTCTGTTTGACTGCTAATGATAACCCTGCTGCTGCATGCAGGGAACACATTAAAATTCATAAATGATCAAACCCAGTTGTTCTCTCTACATCAAAAGTATGCATTAAAATCCAGGACGCTACTGTAGTACAGAGCCTAAATATGAAACCAAGGCAGCTAGAGTTATTATCTTCAGTTTCATGGAAACTTTCTGTAATCCTTGGAAAAGGGTAACATCATGAGAATTTAAAACTGAACCAAGTGAAACCTTCTAAATCATCGTTCAGGTAGTTAATACGATTGTTATTCGTTTTTACCCATTCTAGACTCAGTAGACTAGACTCTAGTTCTAGTTGTCCCTAATACTGCCCAACTAGAATACATGGATGGACTATTAAATGTCTTAACTGATGTGATGATAAAGAAATTCATAGATGAATGGATGGATGGACTGACTAAATTGATAAATGATGACTCGATTGGCAAGCTTGGTCGGTACAATTGGCACTGTTAGACTGATAAATAATAAATGGTCTAATACGACAGACGGATACATTTCAAAGTTCTACCTGGTTTTGGATATTAATCGTGTTTCACAGTGATCTTTATTTGCTAATTATCCTCTTTAAAATCTAAGTGGATGTTTTTGTTAAACTTGTTCAGTCTTCCTTGCTATGCTGGCTTCCTCTAGGATGCATTATTCATTTCAGGCTATAGTTTCCCCTCTTAGCAGCAGAGTCTTGAATTTATTCATTCATCAGCGACACATGGTTAATGATTGAATTTGCCTACTCCGTTCAAGAGGTAAAGGCTTTTAGAGTGCCAGGGTCCTACCTCACTCAGAGGTTGCAGTCATTTGGGCAAACACATTTCATTAGAAGAGATTTCTGGTTATGTAGTAAAGTTGAAAGAGCTTGAAGTAGTCTACAGTTGAAATTGTAACCATTTTGCAAGATTTAATGCAGAAACACAGTTTTACCTGTTTTTGCCTTGGTACAAGAATGATGACTTAGACTTATTTTAATTGTTTTACCCCCAAAAGATATTGTAACACTGACTAACAGTTTTTACTTAGACACCATACTTCAGTCTTTCTATCAATTATTGCAGCTGTAAAATATAGATGGTACAAACTGCCATTACCTTTAATCCATATTTAACTGAGCAGTAAAATAGGGGTATATCTAATTATATGTCTATTATATGTTTATATAGCATTCATTGCTGGTAAGACTGGCGAAGGTGAACAAAATGATAAAATGTCAGAATTATTCCCTCATGATTGCGCATTATGTTTCTGAATGACGGCAGAAAAAACAAAGGCTTTTGGTATTCAGCCAATGCTGCTCATGCATGTCTACAGCCTCAACCAATCACCCAGATTATTCCTGCAGGGAGTTTCTTTTGTGGCGTGTATGTCTCTGTATTTCATCACCTCTTAGATGCTTCAAGCCTCTACTGATGATATCTGGCCCTGCTAGGAGTAGTACCTCATAAACACCTCAACATGGACATGGATTCACACAGACACACAGCTGTTCAAGCAGATACATTAATCTTTAATGGTATCATTTATTTTCTCATCTGACCCTCAGCCCCAGCCGCTCCGCCAACATGTCAGTACTGTGACGTATTGCAGCTTCCTGCTCGCTATTCATGTGCACCGTGTGATCCAGAGGATCAGATAAATCACACTTTATTCACCGGAGGTGCACATGAATGGAGCTGTCTCATTCCACTGGCTCTGAATTCTACTATAGGATGCAGTGGAGCTTAAAATATCTGCATTTTTACTGATGGAGTGTGATTGTGGACAAATCTTAAGATGAAAAAAAGACATCTGAGTTAACAGTTTGATAAATGGATCTGAAATTATCTTCAAATAACTCCCTGAGTGAATTCCCACATAGTGTTTGTAGTTAGAACACATGCAAATAGAATATCATCAAATTCTTTTCAAAACATTAATATACATTATTCACAATATTCGGGGATGTAATTAAAGATTTTGTGACTGTTGTGATCATTATTGCTTTCGGCTAATAAAAAGGCATCATTTAGTTTCTTTGGAAGCTAGAACCTACAATCGGATAAATCAACCATCCATCCATCCATCAATCCAAATATGGTAACAGCTAGTTTACACCCCCTTAATCTAGTATCTAAAACAGTAGATCAATTATATTTTTATATGAGCTTTTTATAGGCTAGCTTAAATGTTTTTCTGTGCTTCTCTCATGTTAAATAATACATTCTAATACTGTAAAATCTATGTTAACGAGCAATAGCTTGTTCTACTTGATTAAAATCTTGTTCTGACGTGGCATTTTTCAAAACTCGCTTACACTATTCAGTTTGAACAGAAAGAGGAACGGAAGTATCTTTGCCTGTGAGTGAATAAGGAGTTATCTTTTTCACATAAGCGACAACATGGATTTGCATAGAGATATTTTATATTCCCCAGTTTTTGACAGGTTTATCTGTATTACAAAGAGCTACCCCGAAGGAGCAAGGCAGTAAATATCCCAGGTCTTCAGAGAATGACACCCATTAAACACCTGTTTAATTAAAGAACAGCAAACTATGTCAGACTTGTCCTGCCACAAGCGTTTCAGTGCAGGTGTTGACAGAATGAAAAAAAAACATTTAATTGTGAGTCAGTAGACTATTTTATAAATTGTGCTTACAGCAAAACTTTCTAAAAATAAAGCAGCTGCTTATATTTCTTCAATTTGCAAATTAAAATGTGCATCCTATGGCACCGCAAATACTTAGTCAACTTTTTTTAGATAGATACCAGTAGAAAGTTGATTTTGTGGCTTATTATATAATGTATGTGTTAATTTAAAGGGTGAGAATCTTGAGGCAGTTAAAATTATAAAAATTCAGTGCCCTAAATCCATTGTAACATTATTAGGTCTTTGAATTTTCTTCTCATTTTACTTACTTGTGCGTAATCCTTACAACACCACCTTCAGAATGTTCCTAAACTACCCCCACACCAAAGCTATACCCTTAACCTCTAAAGCCACAGCACAACATGTGAGATATTACAATATGCGTACTGCTACCACTGGATTTAGAAGTTACTGTAGGTCAACATTGGACCATGAAAATTTTATTTTTGTTCTTTCAACGTTTCAAACATTCAACATAAATCATTTTTGTTTCCCTCCTTTAAGCACAGTTTGTCAAGGTGTAATAGAAATGTCAGGAATATGACATGTCTTGACACAGTTGGACTAAAGCTGTAAAACACCCCATTTGATACATGAATTGAGGACCCACAACAAGCATTGATATTTAAAAGATTGGAGCATTATGTTCTCCATCTTACTGTTGAAAACTGAGTAGCAGGTCTGTGGACTCCCGGCAACTGCTCAAAATGCTTAGAATTGCATTTAGTCATGGTTATTGATCTTCACCTGATGCTTAGTTGATTTGATGTGACTGAATGGTTGGGTATACCCGAAGCGCCGGCTGCCCTGGCACTGCAGTCAATCAGAGCCTCGAGGTGAAGGACCAGCCAATTACCCTCTTTTTGTGTGTGTTTGTTTTCCTTCAGCGCTCTTATGTTGCACCTCGTTGCAATCAAGCAAAACGAGAGAAGCATATCAGCTCAGGTTAGACTCAGTTCAATGCCAGTGACTGCAACAGCAGTTTTCCGCTGTCTCTGTCCTATATCTCCAACAGCTTTCCAAAGAATAATCTTCAGATCTCTGTCACCACATAATCTGAATACATAATCTGAAGATAGTGTGTTATTTCAAGCAATTTGCTAAAAAGTGCAATAAATTTCAGTGTCGGGATATTTAAGGCTGGTAAGGAAAAATTTAAATTTTCAGATGTTTATCACTGGTGGGAACAAGCCCGAAAAGATTGCAGCAGCAGCTGTTCTGCATAACATTTAACCAAGGAGGCTGAAGGCAAATTGAAAAAAAAATGTTTACAATTATTTTTTTTAATCTTCGTTCAACTTTCTAATTCACCCTTTAAGAAAACACAAACACCAAGCTGGTGTTAGCTGGTTAATCAAGCAGGGTGTCTGCTAAGACAGCCATCAGACAGGTGCCTAATAGAAATGGCAGTCAGCTTCTCCAAAATTAGCACTTTAGCATTTTACACCTTTTTCAAAAAGTCAAAGTCAAAAAGCCTTTATTGTCATTATATTCTGCAACGGATACAATGAGATTTGGAACTTCCATATCAGCTACCGTGAAATAAAAAAAAATAAAAAAAATGGAAAAAAAAAAAAAAAAATATATATATATATATATATATATATATATATATATATATATATATATATAAATATATTAAAAGGAAAAGGAAATGTAAACAGTGAAAAGGAAATGTAAACTTTTTATGCTGAACAGTAAAGCCTGAACACAGCTGGATTATTATTTTGGTCTTGAATGAGGAGGCTGTTTAACCATAAGTGGGAGGGTGGGGGGGTGGATGCCACATGTATTTTTGTGTATGATTGCATTTCTTATAGTCTGTCACTAGTCCTACCTTCTGAGCACTTTGAGAATCAGAAGGAAGGGCAAAGTCTGGTGTTCTTCCATCTTGAATGGCAGGAGAATTTCACAGCCCTTTAATAAATTAGGCTCTCAGCGCCTTTCTTTGCCCCGAGTAACTAGATTTTCTAAAGGTAATATCAAAAGCGTTGAAGCCCAGTAGACCAAAGTTTCTTTCAAAATGTGTCTGGATTTTGTTGTTTCTTTGTACTTTTTTTACGATGGATCCTCATATTATCCAAGAACGTCAATCTTATGTCTTATTGTATTAGAAGCTGAGGGCCAATGTGAACATTGACCAGAGCTGTATGGATTGGAAGAGTCTCAGAGATTATGTCCATTGATCAGACAGGAGGGGTTTTTGGTTTCAATTGACGCAGCCTTCTGTCTAACTATGTGTTCTGTGATTTTAGGGGCTGAAGGAGCAGTGTTCAGCAAATCCGTGGAAACACCACACGTCAGGGCCGAGCCGTTCAAGGAGCTACGGTGAGTTAGGGTTCTGTTCACATATCATGACTGCTATAGATGAATGGACGAGAGGCTTTTTATTGAGATTAGAATAACCAATTACACAGAATATCATCAACGATTATTAATATATTATACAGGATAAGAATACACTTTATACATCAAGTCCATTCATTCTATTCAAGTAGTGGACTCAATTTCAATTGTTTAGAGGCATCAAGATCTTTGTGCCAACAAAATGTGTCACCAGAATAGCCCACTGTTCATAGCAAGCAGTATGGTAGGTGCATTGTCTTGCTTTTACCCTTATAATCAGCTTGTTTTGTGCTAATAAAGGTTTAACTGAAATGTATCTATCAAAGCATTATACAGAGGTATCTGTCGAACCTCTGGAAACTTTGTAGTCAGAAAAACAGGAGTAAACTGAAAAACAGGCCAAGCACAAAAGTCCAAAAATAAAGGCGTTATGATGGCAGCTGCAAAGCCGACATCCCTCTTCAGGATAGTTGCACAGCCAAACAGGAACAGACCAAATAAAGCTTCTATGAGAAAAAGCAAAGAGAGAGCATAACATTAGACAATTAACTAACAAATTCTGCAGAATGGGAGAATAGAGATAGAATGAAGCAGAATGATGAAAAATTGTCCCTATGTCCTCCAGCAGTCTAAGCCTATAGCAACATAACTATAAAGATAGTTCTGGATAACCTGAGCCACTCTAATTACATATTAAAAAGATGAATTCGACTTAATGGTCTGGCTGTTTACTTACTGTAAGAGCTATTATGAATAGCTAAGACATTGATGGTGTTGTTCCCTATTTCTTCAAACTAATTCTTTCTCTTGAATCCAAGACTTCTATCATTGGCTAAAAAGCAATTCTAGCAGAGCAACAGATCAAACAAATATGTAGTTCACCCACAGTATCTAAGCTGCTATACATCCATGTAGCATATTTCCATTAAAAAATTTTTGTTTTTTTCCATCAAGAAAGCAGTGTGCTATACGCACAACTACAAAACATTAGGCTTGTAGATTAAGCTCATATATTATTGTCCATATATAACTTTAAATTTGCTCTTTCACTTTAAAAAACATATAAGCAATGCAAAAGCTTGGGCAAATAAACAGGAAGAAAAAGAAAACAGAGTAGAACCAAAATAAAAATATTGAATGTTATTTCAAAATAATGAAATTTGATATAAAAAGTACACAAAATAAAACAAATGCTTCTAAAAGATATTATTTACCTATTATTGTATTATTGTAAATGTATTATCTATGCATTTCTACAAGATAAAACTACAAAATAAATATATATTTTTAAATATGTTTAATATTTAAGTTCCATTCCCTAAGAGGATCTCAGGAGTCAGAAACTACTGAAAACCATCTTGGTCCCTTTTGCTATAAAAGGGCACAGCACTATTACAAAGTGCAGAGAATAAATAATGCAGCATTATTTCACTTAACAAATTAAGTCATAAGACAAGTTACTACCACTGTGTAGTAGCTAGTTTATTAATTTTCTGTTCTAATGATCCCAGTATTTCTTTTTTAGGTTATGGAGCCAATCTATAAAAGGAAAACACAATTAATAGACATCAAATTGGTCTTTCAGGAGGTCAATACTTTCTTTTTATGGGCCAGTAATTCATTAGTTATTGCCTCCAATTTTTTTTTCTCCGCTAACCATGGAAAAAAGCAAAGGTAAAGCTTATTATGCCACATTTAAACGAAAATGAATGTTTTCTTAAAGTGAAACGGGCAATGAGAAGCATACGTTACGGTTATGTTTCCTCATGCAGTGTGTATTTTAAGGAAAGGAAACAGCCGAGCCTCATTTGTCCCTCCAGATTGAGCATTACTAGACAGGATATTGCTTTCAAACAGTAAACATAGTTTATTGAAAGCAGGAAAGACACAGGAAGAAAAAATGCATGTAAAGTTACAAAATGGATTGCTTCGGAAATTATTTTGACATTAGCCTCTATGCAGTTAAAAATGTTATTTTTAGTCATCAATTACTGTTAGGTTTATATTATACACACAGCCAATTAAATCACTGCTTAGTTGGCTGCTTGATCTTTTTTTCCCTTCTCTATTTGCACTAATAGTTGAGCCAAAGACTATTTCTGTACCTCATGCTGTTGGTGATAAATCCCTTATAAGCATAAATAAGGAATAACTGACAGATGTTGTTTAAATGCTTTAAATTTTCTTTTTTTTTTCGGTCCATTATATATCCAGAGTTGATTCAGCTGCAAATTTTCACACCTATCGGTTAAAGAAGATAATAAAACAGTTGTACAGCTGTGCTGTGTAGGATTCAGCATATGTTCAGCTTTGAACAAACTTTTCTCTTTTCAGAGAAGAAAACAACTCAGTCTTCAGCAACAAAAATCAAATTTTTTTGCTGTAAAAAACAAGCTGTAACATAAGAAAGAAACAAAAGATCATAACACATAAAATCTGTGATCCTGATTGAAAACAAATATCTGCAGTAACCTTAGAAAATAAAATTCATCAGAAACAAGAGAGAGAAAGAAGAGAATAATAACCAGAGACAAAACAATTTTTGTACTTTTAGAAACAAATCTGTGGACGCCGACAATAACGGATTCAGTGTCACAGAAAAAAACAAAATATATATTTTTTACTGGCAGAAACAAAACAATGCAAAATGGATAAATCCAAATCTAGTAGCTAGTAAACACAAATCTGCAGTAATCAGATTTGTTTGATTTATATCCGTCATCAATGATGGTGTTTTTCTTTCTAACGCCTCACTGACTTGCCTCAGTTTTTCTCCATCAACAACAACCTTGTAATACATTCATGTTTCTGCTTTGAGTTTAGTTTGAAACATAAATCCTAATTGACTGCAGCCTACTTTTTCTCAGGGCAGATTAATGGTTCATATAACTGTAATATGTTGAAATTTCTCTTTTAATGTGAAAACTTTTTTGCAGATTCTAAGCTCCCTTACAGGCATCAGCCTAATTCATTTTTAACTGGCTTTGTGGTTCTCTCCATCCCTTCATCCCCCTACAGCGTACGTTTTATGTGCACGGGTGAGGTGTGGACATTTCTCTGATGTAAATGTCTTGTTTATCATCTTTCTCTTGGCTGTGCTGTCAGTTGTGATGACAGTCAATCAGGAGAGAAACCCGGGGAAAAAAAGAGAGAAAGAATTTGATGACTGTAAGGGAGGAGATGGAATAAGTTGACAGTTAACTGGAAACATAAGAAAATTGGAGGATATAAAAGATATTTGCTTTTAAGAAATCAAATTATCCATATCAATTAATGTTTGATGTTCATACCAAGGATTATCATGCATCATTAGTTTTTAGTTTTCTTAGACGCTGTAAAGAAATCTACAGTATAACTTCACATAACAGGTTAAAAATGGCATCTGTATTTTAAAATCACCACTGAAAAAATGACTTTCTAACCTGATAACATCAGGTTATTTCAAAATGAGTTACCAGAACACTATTTATACACCCCCACAAAGAGTACATGACTTCTAATTCATAGAGCTGATTTGAGATCAGCTCTACCTCATTATTTAATTTCCCTTTTGGATTGATAAAGCATTTTGAATTAATCAAGCCATATGTAGAACACGTTTGTGCTGTTAGGTTGATTCATAGTGGGACATGTTTATGATGGACAGGTGTTTGTATTAAAAATAATCTTCTAACTTTCTTTGAATGCTTGATATCTGCTGAAAAAGCCCTGTGACCAATGCAAATATCCAAAAGTTTCTGTCAGAACTTCAGCAACTCTGTTGGTGTATGGAACAACGGATGGAATTTAGCGCTCTGGCATATTTATTATGTTGGAGCGTTTGCACACGCACTGTCCTGATTCAATTAAAATAAAATGAAAAATCCACCTGGCTAATGTAAGTGGGCCCTTACCATGTAGAAGAGCAGAACATTTACCATGCATTCATTTTCCTATTTCCTAACTTTCAAAAAGCCCACTAGTGGGAGACAAGTCCAAAAATGAAACAAGCTTGACTTGTGTTGGCACCTGCAAGCCAAATGGACAACAAAGCCTAATTAAACCATGGGACAGGTCTCTTAGACCTTTGAAAAGCATCACTAGAAATTGTACGTATTGAAGAAGGATCTTCCAATATTACTTGTTCCCTAGCTTTGTTAGTTTGTTGAAATTATTTTTGCTTAAAATGGTTGTAAGAAAATAAGATTTGCCCAGAGAAGCTCTTGTGGATGAAGTTTCTTTGTGGGATCATTAAAATAAAGAATCTACAAAAACCTCTTTTTCAGAACATTTTCATAGTCAATCCTCTACCACAAAGGATCCACAATAGCCTATCTGGGGCATAACTACCAGAGCATTTTGTGAACCAGACTAAGGAACATATAATATTGAAATGCGCAAATTGCAGAATTGGTAACCTATGCATGTGGAAGTTTGTGAGTGTAAAGTCTAAAACTGAGTGTTGGTTTTCATGTGTACTTTAGTTCTGATTTTGAAATGTGCAATGACAATAAGTATGGCTTTTAATACATTTACCAAATAAGGAGAAGAACTTGTTGGATTAATGAGAAGGTGCACAAATTATCAAATGATGTCCCCAAGGCACATTGGTGGATGAAGGCAATTTATGTATCATATTGCAATAGCAAGAGAATTCACACTGCTTTTCATGAAAAAGAAAAAGAAACAAAGAGAAAATTACATTTCAAAGACTAAAAGTTAATCCAATAAATAATTAGTACGAATAATTAAAGAGAATAAAAATAAGTAAAAAAAAATAAAGGTGATAATTAAAAAAAAAAGGAATAGAATGACTGGAAAATGCAAGGAAGGTTTGACTGCAAACCTAAAACAATCATGTTTTAATAGCACAGTCAATTTAAACTATTAAGAAATATTTGTTTGATCTTGAATGTAAACTCCTCTGTGAGATTAGCTGGGCATAAGAACTAACAGCTGACACTCTATCTTTGGTTCTGCATTTTGGTAGGGCTGGGCAATTA